ATATTACATACAATACATTACATGTATATTACATACAATACATTACAAGTATATTACATACATTACATTTATATTATTAGCTCTTCATACAACTACAAAACCCCGAGCATGGCGGCGTCTGTTAACTATACAGCTTAAACTCTTAGCCTTTGCTAAGTGCTCTATAAGTGCGTACTCTCGCTGCAAGCACGCAAGACAAGCCGCGGTGCTACTCTGCTGCTGGTATCGCCGCATCCCTCATCGCCCATCTCACACCACGTGCAATCAATTTGGAAGAAAATGAAGCTGAAAAAATGTCTCGGCTAAAGCCCGCCATTGGCAATCGACACGACTTTCCAATCGGCTACGTGTTTCAGTAACAAATCTGCGCTAACCATAATTATACCCGTTGGCAAATAGCAGATATGTTCGCTGTTTTTTCCTCGCTTAATTACTCTTTTTTCACAGTGAGGGGGAACGCGCTGGCGCCACACAGGCTCGGCCGCAGATGCGGACAAGTGTTAGAAAGAGAGCAGCATGAGTGACTGCCGGGGCAGCGATATATAAGAACTCTCCCCGCGTGCAATGCGAAAGAGCGCGTGACTCATTCCCAGCCGAAAACTGTAGGCCTATCGTCATCGTGACCGAGTTGTCGAAATGAGGAAAGTTTTGCTCTCCCTGCATATTTGGCTCGCGCTAGCTATCGCAGCAATCGTCTGACTGCAAAAAACAGACCCGCAAAATAAATTCGAATATTGTTGTTTACGCGGATGTGATATCTTACAGGATGCCGCCCTATGGAGTGAGATCGAGCGGCAGTATTAATTAACAGTATCAATTAACAGTATCGATTAACACCGTGGCGTGATTAATATAAGCGGAGCACAACACGTGTAAGAACGACCGCCACGAAAAACGCATACACGCACGCGCGCGCTAACACGCGCACACACACACACGGACACACATGCACATGCACACGCGCTAACACGCGCACACACACACACACGGACACACACGCGCTACACGCGCGCGCACACACACACACACTGACACACATGCACACACGCGGATACACATGCACGCACGCACGCACACACACACACACACACACACACACACACACACACACACACACACACACACACA